ACTGTGGCTTCCGCCCTGGCCCTATGCATCCCGCCAGTGTTCAGCAATGGTCCCCGCCACCCCGTGATGGCACAGGGGCACGGGAAAGTTACCGTTAATGGGGCAAGAAACAAAACAGCTCTGCCGAAGAACCTGCAAGAGCAGATTGCCCAGTATCTCCACAAGAGTTTCCTGGAGATCTCTGAGGGACAGTCCCGTGAAGTGAGGGAGGCAATCAACAGCCTGTTCTGCTGCTCAGAGTAGACATGCAGTGGGAGACAAGCCTGCTTTCTGCAATCCTCCTGCCTCCAACAACTCACTTCAGCGAGTCCCCAAATCAAATCCACTTGCCAGGGGCCTCCTCTCCCGTTTATGCTTCACCAACATCCCACAGCTGTGACTGGCTAGCCTCCTCCGGGGTAGAAAAGAGCTCCTGGCTTCATGTATTTCTGACCTCCGAGTCATCCTCTGCCTTTGGGTCCCCCTCCCCCTCCACATCCTCATCCAAGATTTACTCCTCCTGGCTCGGTTCACTTTCGACTGGCATGCGAGCCACCAAAGTGGCCTTTGCAGTGGAGGTGGAGTCGCCGCTGAGTATCACGTCCAGATCTTTGTAGAACTGGCAGCTCGTGGGCGCAGCACCGGAGTGGTGGTTTGCCTCCCACACCTTGTGGTAGGTGTTCTGCAGCTACTTCACTTTGACCCTGCACCGCAGTGTGTCCCGGTCATGGCCCCTTTCTGTCATGCATCGTGAAATCTGTCTGTAGTTATCTTAATTCCTACAACTGGAGTGCAGCTGGGACTGGACAGCCTCCTCTCCCCAAATGCTGATGAGGTCCAGCAGCTCGACATTGCTCCAAGTGGGAGATCGCCTGGTGCGTGGAGCAGGCATGGCCACCTGTAAAGATGAGCTGAGACCACTGCACGCATCACCGAGCGAACAGGAAGGGGACTTTCAAAATTCCAAAGGAATTTACTGAGTGGGGATGACGGTTGGTGTCCTGAGGGCAGGGCAGTAGAGTTCAAACTGATGACCAGAGAGGTGAGAACAGGCATTGTGGGACACCTCCCGGAGGCCAATTGCAGGGCTGTAATTGACTAGGATGTCTACACTGGCACCGCGGCGCTGTAGCCCCGGCGCAGAAAGCTGTATGCCTCTCGTTGGGGTGGTTTTTTACAGTGCTACAACTGAGCAGTTTCTGCGCACTAAGTGGCCTGGCAGTGTGTAACCTCGGGAGTTACAGCGCAGAAAGCTGCTTTATTGCACAGAAACTTGCCAGTGTAGACAGGGCCTAAGATGTTTCCGGCAGTCATCCTGGGCAGGGATTCTGTGAAGAATGAAACCTGATTAACTCACTTCCCTGCCTTCAATAGGATTCACATATGGCGGGAACCCTTTGTTTCCTAGTTTGATCCCCACCCCTAGTAGTGGAAAAATACTAGTAGTCCAGTACCAGGTGACATGATCACATGACCCTGCAGTGTCAAAGCAGCATCCCAGGAAGCTTCTCAAGAAGGTGGGAAATTAGCATCTTCAAAGTCCTATTGTCCATCTTAAATGGCCCATCCAGGCTGATTGCCTACGGTCTGGGGGAAGTGCCCCAGGTGTAAACCCTCTTGTGATTGTTACATAGTCAATATTCCTCACTTCAGATACAGAATTGATACATGCATACAAATAGGATAATCATATTCAGTAAATCATAACCTTGCCAATGACACCTCACGTGACCCGTCTTGCATAGAACACATCTGTTATGCCAGATTCATATCATAACAATATCCTGTGAAGAATATGGGGCGTAGAGTCATATCTGGGTTTTCCCTTCTGTTGGTAAAGCGTGTGGTCAATTGCTCGACCATACTTTGGTTCGTTATGCAGTATGCCCAAGAGACCAAATAATCAATATCGGTCTGGTTTATTGCTAAAAGTCGGTAATAGCTAAGGAAGGGTGTCTGTGATGGAGGTCACGGGAGTCACGGATTCTGTAACTTTCCATGACTTCTGCAGCAGCTGGTGCGGCTGGCCCTGGGCAGCCACTGTTGGGGCAGTCTTGGGCCACCACATCCCCACAGCTCCCCAGCAGTAGCAGTAGTTTGGGTGTGGGAGGGGGCTCAGGGTTGGTGTGCGGGGCGGTGGTTACCTTAGGGGGGGCTCCACGGAAGCGGCCAGCATGTCCCTGCAACTCCTTGGCGGAGGGGCCAGGAGACTCTGTGCGCTGCCTCTGCCTGCAGGTACCGACCCCGCAGCTCCCATTGGCTGCCACTTAGGAGCTGAAGGGAGAGCTCCGGCTAGCCCCGCCAACCCTCCCCCCCAGCACCATCAGGGGTCCTGGGCCATGTGCTGCCACCTCCCCCCCAGAACCTGTGACAGCCCTCCCGGGCTGCCCCCCCGACCCGTGGGGTGCCCTGGGGCATCTCGCTCCAGCACCTGCAGTCCCCCCGCCCAAGTGTTAGTTAGGGGTACGTAGTACAAGTCATGAACAGCTCATGGGCCGTGAATTTTTGTGAACTGCCCGTGACCTGTCCATGACCTTTACTAAAAATACCTGTGACTAAAACCTAGCCTTAGTAATAACATATTACAGGAACAAAGGTTCAATACAACTCCAATTTCCGGGAACCCGTCTCCTGCAGCAGTGCTGAACTGGCCTTACAAAGAAGGCTTGTGTCCAAAGTCACACCCCTAAAGCCGTCCTTTTTATACCCAACCTGTTTACAAGGAAAGAGGTACTGTATGCATCCTCTGAGGCTAATCTTAACCTACCATCTTTCTACCTTGTTTTTCTGGTACCACGCGGTACCCCTTAGCTCTTTGTTCTGGACGCAGGAATTCCAGGTACCAAGAGCGTGATGCACCTCCTGGGCTTGTCCCGTATATATTGTCTTTATCTTTGGGACACTCCAGTGAGAGTAACTCCCTGCCTGTTACTACAGTAGAACACCCACATGTGCTGATCCTGACAGTTTTCCTGGCTAATGCAAGGTGTTATGGGATACTTAGCATAGGTGAATAAGACTATAGAAAGACACAGGCCGCCATTCCAGGCCATGTAGCTGCTAGAAGTGTACATAGAATAGAATGTTATATGCATTAAGCACATACTATCCATATTAATATATGTAATGTGAATCATAACTATTGATCATGTGATATATTACATTAGCCTGGCATATATTGGTGAACACTTCAGAAATAGATTTAACCCCCACCTAAACAATTCAGCTAGTCCTGATGACCCAGATCCAATGACCCCACCCCTCATTACAGTGCCAATAAACCCATCGAGAGCTTCCCCAGGGCTCCGGCAGCTATTTAAGGGGCCGGAGCAGTAGACGCAGGGGAGCCCCGGGCCCTTTAAATAGCCCCCAGAGCCCTGGGATAGCGGGGAGCTCCAGGGGCTATTTAAAGGGCCGGGGCTCCAGCTGCCTCTGCTGCACCCCCTGCGCGCACCAGCCCCACACCCCCTGCCCTGTCCGCAGCCAGCCCCTGTCTCCAGCCATCCCTGCACCCCCTGCCCGCAGCCAGCCCCTGCTGCACTCCCTGCCCTGCCCGCACCAGCCCCGCTCCCCCTGCCCTGCCTGCAGCCAGCCCTGCACCCCCTGCCCGCAGCCAGCCCCTGCCTGCACCCCCTGCCCTGCCCGCACCAGCCCTGCACCCCTTGTCCTGCCTGCACGAGCCCCGCACCACCTGCCCTGCCCGCAGCCAGCCCCTGTCTCCAGCCAGTCCCGCACCCCCTGCTCGCAGCCAGCCCCTGCTGCACCCCTGCCCGCACCAGCCCTGCGCCCCTGCCCTGGCCGCAGCCAGCCCGTCTCCAACCAGCCCGCACCCCTTGCCCTGCCTCCAGCCTGACTCTACCTCCAATCAGCCCCTGCCCTGCCCCTGCCCTGCCTCCAGCCAGCAATGTACGTAATATATAAGTTTGTTATTATTTATATAGTTATGGAAAGATAATAATACACGGAAGAAATGAAAGGGGTTTTTCTACATTTTTTTTTTTAGTCATCCCTGCCAGGGCCTCGCCGAAAATGTTCGAATTGGGCCCTGCACTTCCTAAAGCCGGCCCTGCCTGGTGGTAGGGAGGGGAGCAGGATGAGGAGGAGAAATACTTGAAAGAAATAAAAACTAAATACATGTTTTAAAAATGTTATACACAGAAATAAGCAACAGAGAAAGAGAGCGAGAGGGAGATATGTCTCCTGGCCCGTCTATGGACCAAATTTTGCTAATTTACCCCACTGTGATTCTGGTGTAAATCCAATGAAGTCAATTCTTTCATTAAGAACGATTATTACTGTAGTAATATTTCAGAACCCCAGCTTTGTGCCCCCACAGAAATCTGGCTCCACCAGCTCCCTGGAAATTCCCCTGGTGCACTGGCTCTATGTTACAGCCCCAGGCACAGTGGGCATTCCCAGAGGTGAGTGTTATGGCCAATGTACTCCTCCACTCTGGCTATTGCCAGCTGCTGGAATGGTCCCTTGGGGCTACGGACAGTTGAGGATGAATCAGAGAAGGCTTTGGGCTGCTCTGCTTCCAGGGACCAGACTGATCCGCAGTTATCCCCTGGGATTCAGTAGCTGTGAAAGTGGTGGAAAGCCATCTGGGACCCTCCACGCTCTGGTCTCCTAGTGAGCCCATCTCAGATGAGCCCATCTCAGCCAGCCCCGGGAATCTGGCGCAGTAAATCTAAGGGTGTTTCAGTGCGTCTGGAAGGAGTCTCTGTTGGTGCAACGTGAGCACTGGAGGGAGCAGAGGAAATTGCACATGACACCAATAACGGGAGAGACTCCCTGCCCCAACTACGATCCCGTCCAAGATCACAGATACGCACTCAGGCCGGCCAGGCCCTCCCACCCCTATGGTGACACTTCTATTTCTAGCTAGATGAGAGCTAGCGCGACTATGTCTTCTCGAGCTGGGACATTCACCTTCCAGCCCCACTGCAGACAGACCCGTGGGCCCCTCTGGACTCTCCTAGCCCCACCCGAGTTCATCCCATGGACTTTGTTCCACTCACCCAATGGATACATGTCACCTCGGGTTCTCATGGTGGCTCAGATACTATCAGGGCAGGTCGAATTCTGAGGATTTTGAGCTTTGCAGCCTCCTTATCGTGGGGAAATTAGACAGGAAGCCAAGTTGACTCATGTCCTGTTTCATTATATCATATCAACAGACAGTACTGCACATAGGAAAGCACTGTCTTCCCAGCATGCCCTGCTCTCCTTCCTTCTGCCCTACCACTTCTCCCAGCCCCATAATCATTTACCTTGCTGAGTACCTATGGGGGAAATTAACCACAATGCAGAGGATCTAACATCACTTCACACAATCACTGGAATGTGGAGTTCCAGGGACCTCAGGAGATCAAACAATCCATCCCCATGCGCTGAGGCAGGACCAAGTGCACCTAGACCATCCCTGGCAGGTGTTTGTCTAACCTGTTCTTAAACCCCACAATAACAGGGATTCCACAGCCTCCCTAGGTCACCTGTTCCTGTGCTGAACCATCCTTAGAGTTAGAAAGTTTTTATAAAAATATCTAACCTAAATCTCCCTTGCAGCTAACTAAGCCAATTCCTTCTTCTCCTACCCTTGGTGGACATGGGCACCAACTGATCACACTCCTGTTTATAACAACCTTTTGCATATTTGCAGATTGTTATCATGTCCTCCCTAAGCTGTCTCTTCTCTGGACAAAACATGCCCAGTTCTTTCAACCTTTCCTCACAGGTCATGTTTTCTAAACCTCTGATCATTTCTGTTGCTCTCCTCTGGACTCCGTACAATTTGTCCTTATCTTTCTTGAAGCGCAGCACCCGAACCTGGACACGGTTCTCCTGCGCCGAGTAGAGTAGAACAGTCACCTCCCATCTCTTACCCACCCCACTCCTGTCAATACATCCCAGAATGACATTTGCCTTTTTTCAACACCATCACACTGTAGGTTCACATTCCATTTGTGGTCCACCAGAAACCACACATCCTTTTCTGCAGTGCTGCTGCCAAGCCAGTGGGTCCCCATAACTCCCCTGCGAGTAACGATTTCCAACTAGCTTTGCACCCACCTTCTGGTAGTTTCATCTAGTCCATATTTCCTTAGCTTGAGTAGGAAAATGTCATGTGGGACTGTGTCAAAAGACTGACTAAATTCAAGATACATCACGTCCACCTCTTCCCCACATCCACTACACTGGGTACCCAATAAAAGAAGGAAATTATGTTTGTTTGTCATGACTTGTTCTTATCACCTATTATCCTCTAGGTTTGAATAAATTGATAGTTTAATCATTTGTTCCAGTATCTTTCTGGGTATTGAAGTTAGGTTCTCTGTTCTGTACTTCCCTAAGAGCTCCTTTTGACCTTTTTTTGAAGTTTGCCCTTGTTATGAACCTCACCCATTCTCCATGAGTTCTGGAAGATCATTGCTTCAGAGAGTTTCTTAAGTACTCTAGGGTGTATTTCATCAGGCCCTGCCGAGCTGCATAGATCTAACTTATCTAAATATTCTTTATCTGTTAACTTATCTGTTATTTCCCTGTTCTGGCCAGTTTCCTTCCCTCTTGTTAAAATTAACCTGTGTGAAGTATCTGGTCACAACTAACCTTTTTAATCCTGCATTCAGTAAAACGTAAGAGGTGCCCATACCGAGTGGTTTGTTGCTAACATAATGGTCAGAGATCTCAGTGTCACTGGGGTTGTTAATGAGTCTTGCTGTAAATAGGTTTCAGAGTCTTGCATAATGACAGGTCTAGTTTTTGTGAAGTCTATCCACAAGTATTCCTGTTCTTTTTGCTGTAAATAGTCATCTAAGGTGGTGCAGCTGTAATGCCGAAGTCACTTTCTGAGCAGTAGCTCTTCTTAACAAAAACCAAACAGAAGAACAGATCTTCATCCAGATCACAGTGCGGCTCCCTATGCGTGAGATGGTGCTGTCCAAGTCTCAGCTGTGATCATAGCTCTTGTCTGCAGCTGTCGTCTTGGAGACGCAGACAGAACATCAGTCCTGGTCCAGGTGGTGCCGTAGTAACAGGATTAACATGGGAAGAAGATGAAATAGGTGGCTAATGACTATCCATGATTGAAGGTGTCAGAGAGTGGGATGTGGGTGGTCATGACTAGTGGTCAGAGCAGGACCTGGCAGCAAATAACCAGAGCTGTGGGTCAGAGCCAGGGGCCAAATGCCAGTGCCAAGGGTCAGAGCCAGGGTTAGGAGCCAAGAGTCGGAACCCAGGGTCAGAATCGGGGTCGGAGCTGAAGCTGGAGATGAGGAATCGGAGCTGAGGGTCAGAACCACGTTACCTGGAGAGAGGCCAGGCAGGAGCAGGGCTGGACCAAGGCCGGAGCTATCATAGCTGTGGGCAAAAGCTTTGAGCAGCTACTGAACTGCTACTGCTGGGCTAAAAAGCCTGTCTGCTGACCCTTCCCACCAATCAGGCAGCTTGGTACAGGCCAGCTGCACTCGTTATGTTTGTTTGTCATGATTTGTTCCTATCACCTATTATCCTCTAGCTTTGAATAAATTGATAGTTTAATCATTTGTTCCAGTATCTTTCTGGGTATTGAAGTTAGGTTCTCTGGTCTGTACTTCCCTAAGAGCTCCTTTCTACCTTTTTTTAAAGTTTGCCCTTGTTATGAACCTCACCCATCCTCCATGAGTTCTGGAAGATAATCGCTAATGGTTCAGAGATTGCTTCAGCAAGTTTCTTAAGTATTCTAAGGTGAATTTCATCAGGCACTGCCGAGTTGCATAGATCTAACTTAGCTAAATATTCTTCATCTGTTATTTCCCTATTCTGGCCAGTGTTCCTTCCCTCTTGTTAAAATTAACTCGTGTGAAGTATCTGTTCACAAACTAACCTTTTTAATCCTGCATTCAGTAAAATTTAAGAGGTGCCCATACTGAGTGGTTGGTTGCTAACATAATGGTCAGAGATGTCAGTGGCCTGAGGTTGTTAATGAGTCTTGCTGTAAGTAGTCATCTAAGGTGGTACAGCTGTAATGCCTAAGGGCTTGGCTACACGTGCAGATGTGGAGCGCTGTGAGTTAAACCCGCCTTTGGAGAGCGCAGTAGGGAAAGCGCCGCAGTCTGTCCACACTGACAGCTTCTTGCGCACTGGCGTGGCCACATTTGCAGCACTTGCAGCGACATTGGGAGTGGTGCATTATGGGCAGCTGTCCCAGCATGCAAGTGACTGCAACATGCTTTTCAAATGGGGGTGGGGTGGGGTGAGTGTGACAGGGAGTGTGATGTGTGTATGTGGGGGGAGAGAGAGTGGGTTTTGGGGGGGCTGAGAGCATGTCAGCAGGCTGGCTTGTAAGTTCAGACCCCCCTCCCCCCGCCTCTCTCTCTCTCACAGCATTCCACAGTAATGGTTGCTTTGTCCCGGAGCAGATAAGCAGCCGGCTGTCAGAAATGGAGCTTTGAAAGGGCATATCCACATTCCTGCAGCGATTCAAAAACAATGACAAGAGCGACCTGGTGGAGCTGTGCAGGCAGAGGGGGCTGCGTATTGGGAGGTCCACCAAAGAACAGCTCATTGCCCAGCTGGAGGAGAGGGATCGCTTGGATGAACCGAGCCCTGTCCCTGAGAGAAGCCGCCCGGCGGATGCAGCGTGGGCCCCGGGGCCTGACCTGTCTGGGAGGGGTCAGACTGCTGCCGAGGACATCCTGAGACCCTTCCTACCTATGCCTAGGGGAGGGGTTGGGGGAAGCCCAGCGAATACCGAGGGCACCCCGACCCCGGCGGCCAGCAGGGGATCGTCCCGGTGGAGCTCCCCATCCCGGGAGCGGATGCGGCTGGAATGTGAATGGTTGATGAGACAGGAAGAGCTTGAGTTAAGGAAGCAAGAACTGAAGCAGGAGCGGGAAGAACGGGAAAAGCAGCGTCAGCATGAGCTGGAGCTGGCCCGCCTGAGAAGCAGTGGGGCCCCGGCTGCGGTGAGTGAGGGGGGACCCAAGGCTGCAAGGAGCTTTGATAAGTGCTTCCGGGCCCAGCGTAAGGAGGGGGAGGACATGGATACCTTCCTGACGGTCTATGAGAATGCCTGCAGGCTGCACAGGGTTGACCCTGCAGACAGGCTCCAGTTTCTCACCCCCTTACTGGACTCCACAGCCGTGGAGGTGTACAGCCGAATGAAAGGGGCGGGGACAGGGGACTATGAACTGTTCAAAAAGGCCCTGCTCCGTGAGTTTCGGCTGCCTCCTGAGATGTACCGGAAAAGGTTCCAGAGTCAGCGTAAAACCCGTGAGGTCACATACCTACAACTAGCCAACCGCGCTCAGGGGTATGCCCGCAAGTGGACAGCTGGGGCCCAAACTAAAGAATACCTGCTTGACCTATTTGTACTGGAGCACCTGTATGAGTAGTGCCCATCTGACCTGAAGCGATGGTTGATGAACCAAAAACCAGAGAACTCATAGCACGCAGGCCAGCTGGCCGACCAGTTTGTGAACAGTCGGGCAGGGGATAACAGGTAGGAGTCCCAAAGGAATACGCCCGCCATGATGCAGAAAGAGAGTGACCCTGGGACCTCCAAAATGGGAAAATTGAAGAACCCCCTCCCAAGGGGAACACCCAGCGTCAGGACCAACCGACCCTCTCGAGGGGACACATGGGACTTGGGCTGCTATTACTGTGGCCAGAGAGGCCACATACGGACCCAGTGCCACAAGCTCAGGGACAGACTGAGCAGACCAAACCCACAGAGGGTCAACTTGGTAGAGACCCAGCCGGATGAGGGGAAGACGGCCCAGGCAAGGGGGGCTGACAGCTTCCCAATGGCTCAGGAGGGAGGAGTGCCCCAGGCCATCTCCTCTTGGGGGCTGGATGCTCTGGACTCAAGGTTCTCCGTTTACAGGGTGGGCGCCGGGCGGTCCCTGCAGAGCGAGTGCCTTGTTCCCCTGGAAGTGGATAGGAGGAAGGTCAATGGATAGTGGGACATGGGCGCTGAAGTGACACTGGCCCGGCTTGAGGTGGTAGCTCCAGATCAGGTGATACCCAACACCTTCCTGACCCTGACGGGGGTGGGCGGGACCCCATTCAAGATGCCCGTGGCGAGGGTACATCTGAAGTGGGGGGCCAAGGAGGGCCCCAAGGAAGTGGGGGTGCACCACCATTTGCCCACTTAGGTGTTAATGGGGG